AGCGCCCGCAGCGCCTGACGTTGTGACTCTTATCGGTTGCAGTGCTCAGACTTCCGGCGACCCCGAGATATTTCTGCTGATTGGATTACAGGAAACATTTATTGGACCGATCACTCCCGGATGCACTGGTTTAGTTATTACACAGCCCACTGGACTAAATTACGATATTCCATAAATGTGGGCCAACTTAAAGGACCAAACTGCACCCGCCTGATTACTGATATAGCTGGAGAGCCGTACGCCATCGCTGTCAACCCCACCAGGGGGTAAGTACACATTACACAATATTCAACTTCACAGATGTTTCTGCCAGAGCACCATTATTTAATCCTGTAATGAGCCGCTGTTTTCCAAAATGTAATCAATTCCACATTACATAACACTCAGTAGCATGTTATTAATTCCTCAGCTGCTCTGCTCGGCAGATTAATCGGTTACATTTCCTCTTACATCACTTAAACTCGCCAGACAAAAACTCCAACAAAGGTGTTACAACAACGACAAAGCGGCGCACAGCTGTGACACGTCGCTCTGCTAATGAGTCTTTGGTTTTCCTCATCGTCTCAGCTTCTGACGCTGTATTAAAAAATAACCTGTTTACTTTTTAATATTATTATAACTGTAAAACATGATATTAACACAAAAACGAGACCAAACACTGCTGGTTGCAGTAGCTGTGATACTGAGCATGTATCTGTAAATTTAAATGCATATTTGTTGTTATTTACAAGAAGCTGATTTTGGTTCCTCGCAGAATGATGTACTGGAGCGTGATCGGTGATCATTCTCAGATCGAGGAATCAGCCATGGACGGCTCACTGCGCAGAGTGATGCTGGAGAAAAACCTGAGGAGACCCACTGGTAGGTGGCTCGTTTATTCCTTTTGTTGAACCACATTATTGGAATATTTTTCATCATTAAGTCATCATTAAGTTATATAAAATGTTGGGAATTTTATGAATGAACTGTGTGTGTTCTGATATCTCTGGCCAATACCTGTCCATCAATAATTATTGAATAACTATTTAATTTCCAGTTACTGAAATGATTGAACGATCATAAAAATAAAGATAAAAAGTAACACAGCACAGTGTCGTTGGGCTGATATCTGCACGTTCTTTATTTGTGCACAGTTTATACACCAAAGCAACACATATTCCACATAGCAGAGCTTCAATATAAACTCGTGTTTGTTATTGCTAATAAATACCTGATTAAATAACAATGTGTAACAATATTCTGTCAACATCCGTAACACTTACACACACGATGTGTTTTGCCTGCAGCGTCACGTGACGTTTGCAGTTATATATGAAATAAAGTTCTGCATGCAGACTGTCTGTTATTCTAAAGAATCAAATGGTAGTTAAATATATATATCCATATATATATATATAATATATCCAAAGCAGCGCACACGCAGCAGCGTATAGCTGCTCGGGATGTGTTGTACGCCTGTAGGGAAGCACTTAGTGCTGATCTAGTTTTGAAGAGCTGCTTTGGCCTCCTTAAATTCAAGGATGCTATGATCTGTCTTGGTCACACAAAGAAGAATTCATCATCAGTGGGAAAATGCACAGCTATTTAAATGCAGCAGCCTGGTGCTCAATTATACGGTCAGACTTCTGGGAAACAGTGAAATTGTAAAAAAGCTCATCGTGATCAAAATGTGTCGTCATTTCTCAGGATTTTAAACACAAGCTGTTGAATAGAAACAATCGGACGGAGAAACGTCGGTGCTGGAACCGTCTTGACCTTAAGGTCTCCTCCTCTGAGGGACTCCACAGTGATCTCTGTGTAATTTGTCAGGTAAATGAATCTCTTACCTTCATCCTCCCACAGGGCTGGCCATTGATTATTTCAACCAGCGTATTTACTGGGCTGATCCTGAGCTCTCGCAGATAGGGAGCATGAGATTGGATGGCTCGGACCCTCTGGTGACAATCAGCGACAGACACGGTAAACACAAATGGAAAACTTTTTCATCTACACAAATTCGTTTCATGCTTCTCTTTGTTTTTCTCAACTTTATTTATCAAATAATTGCCAGATTAATGTTGCTTTTATGTGGCACAAGGTTACGGTTCTAAACAATGTCTGTTAGCACCAATCCTCTTACACAACACAGTCGTCCTTCGTCCGTGCACCTCAGCATACAAACTTTATAATCCCAAAGCTGCAGAAACCTGATTTTATCAGCT